AGGATTCCTTGCTATCACTGGATGTGTTTTTAATTGAGCATTTTTCAAAAGGGCAAACAAAAGCCGTTTCGTATCTTGATGAAAAATGAAGAGTACCAACAATAATTTCACAGTTTTGGCACGTTGGATTTTTTTTAGTGATGTAAACGAAGAAGAAGTCGTATACAATACAATACAAAATTTTATCTGTGATGTTTACAACGTTTCTAGAATAATTGATGTAGATTAAAAAATTAAAAAACGATTTATTTCTTTCTCAAGGCTTACTAAATAATAAAGTAATTGGAGCCTCCTAGTAAGTATAAAAGAATACCTGTGTCAGGAGGCACAGCTGTTCCTAATAACATTAAATATTGAGATAAGCCTAGCAAGATTACCTATGATTTAGAGTAGGTGTGTGTTTGTGTGTGTGTGTGTGTGTGTGTGTGTGTGTGTGTGTGTGTGTGTGTGTGTGTGTGTGTGTGTGTGTGTGTGTGTGGGTGGGTGTGTGTGTGTGTGTGTGTATGGGTGTGTGTGTATGTATGTGTGTGTTTGTGTGTGAGTGTGCGCGTGTGAGTGTATGCGTGTACGTGTGATTGTAGGTGCTTAAAATTGCAAGCATTTTTTTAATGTAATTTTATTTAATTCTATTCTATTCTGATAAACAAATATATTATTTAATTCCGTGACGTAGAATGTTTTCTGTGGTGTGATAAGATAATTTTTTAAGATGATCGGTAAGTATTTTTTTACATTCGCGATAATTAAGCCGGTGAAATTTTAATTATTTATTTAAGTAATTATACATATATCTTGATTGGGCACAGTACTGTCTCTCAGCAAATTTAGATTTTACATAAATTTCTTTTATGACGTTATGATTCCCCCGTGTAGATATTTTTTTTAATCATATGGCGAGTTAGTATGTTTTTTTTTTTTAAATTGACTGTAAAATATATAGTTTCCTAACCGTAAGAACATCACTAATATCATTTTTTTTATAGGATAGGGTGACAAACGAGCACACAGTCCACTTGATGGTAAGTGGTTGCTGTGGCCCATAGACATCTACATTTATCCTCGCTTGCAAATCAAAATGCAATGCGTTGTCACCCGCGAGGACTAATATGGAATGCCTCTTTGCCAGTAAAAGGGGTCTCCGGTTCTCTACACTCACCATACGAAACACAGCAGCGTTAAGCTGCTATTTTACGATAGTTTTCTGTGAGAGCGTGGTCCTTCCCCGGTCGAGCCGACCCATTCGTGCTACAACTATACTACTAATATAGCTGCAGCATGGCTCTACCACGTATAATCATACAGTTGTTCGGTATTAAATCTAATAGGCTTAACTTTAAGAAGGTATCGTTGTCCTCTTTCTATGTTCAGTAAGTTAGTTTTTGCCGCTCCTCTCCATACCGTAATGCTATATCCTAGATCTGACTGAGCTAAAGATGTGTAAATTTGATTTATCAATTTAGTCGTTGTAATGTAACGCAGGCGTTTAAGTATTCTATTTGATTAATTCACGAAAGATGTTGGTCAAAAATTATTCCAAAGTATTTTGTGTTATGTACTCGCTCAAGTTTTTCACAATTACAATTAAAAAATCTGTATCATCACATTGATGAATTTTTAGTGAAGTTTCACTAGGGGGCTGTGTTCGTTTATCTATACTGAAACACATATAGTTGGTTTTATTAATATTTAGTGTTAGTAGATTATGTTTAAGTCATCTAGACACCTTACAAAGACCTTTTTCAGCCTTCTCAAATACACCTTTCCAAGTACTATCAGTAAACACAATAGCAGTGTCATCAGCATACGAAAAGACTTGGCCACCCTCAATATTTAATTTTGTGAGCTGATTAATATATATCAAGAATAGAGTAGGGCCCAAGACACTCCCCTGTGGTACGCCGTAAGTAATTTCGAAGTCTTGGCTTTGGTAGTCTCCAATATTCACCCTCTGGTTACGTCTCTGCAAATAGTCCCTCATTAATTCAAGTGCTTTTTCTCGAATGCCGATATGTTCTAGTTTAGCAACTAGAGTGGGAAGAGAGACGGTGTCAAATACCTTTTTTAAATCAATTATTAAAGAAGCAAGTGCTAAAACCGCGTCTTCAGTAGAAATTTTTTGTCTAAATCCAAATAGATTTTTTGATAATTTGTTATATTTAGTTAAATACTTAATTATTCGAATGTTTATTATTTTTTATAAAATTTTTGAAGTAGATGTAAGGACTGAGATAGGCCTATAGTTGTTGACATCGTCTCTTTTACCACTTTTATAAACCGGAGTAATTAAAGATTTTTTAAGTGAGAGCGGGAATAATCCTGTACGAAAACAAAGATTAGCCAAGTGACTAATTACATGGGCGATGAGAAACTTACACCATTTCAGAAATTTAGTAGGAAATTGTACCAACCAGGAGCACTATCAGTTTTGAGACTATCAATAGTAAGGACAACTTCCTGTGGATCAGTGTCAAAAAGAACGAATGATGTCAAATGAGGACTTGTATTTTGTATAGGATTTTCAGGTGTATTGATGTCATTAGCTAGTTTTTTCCCAATGTTAGCAAAAAAATCACCAACAAAATTAATTGATTCATTAGGACATAATTTTATTGTAAGGAGTTCATTGCTATGTGTTTTAGAGGGTTTGTATTGAGCAATAGTATTTATAGTTTTCCAAAGATTTTTTGAATTTTTAGAAGCGTTAGTAAGTTGTTCCCGTTCGTATTTTCTCTTTAGTTTTTTTATCAAATTGTTGCAATGATTACGATATCTTTTAAATGTTATTTTTAAAATATTATTATCTGGGTCAGATCTTTGTTTAAGCTGCGTTTGGTGTCTGTTCCTTATACATCGCAAAATACCTGTACTGATCCAAGGCTTAATAGTTAGCTGAGTTTTTGGAAGATACTTAGTAATTTTAGCCTCATCCACTGATTCTTTTAACTTTTGAGTAAGCTGTTCAATAAGTAAGTTAGGGTCTTCACACAAGAGTAGACTCTCTAAGTTTCTTTCAAGCAAAACATTGTAGGCTTTCTCGTAATCTATTATTAATTTAGTTTTAGTCTGTATAGATTTATGTTTACTTTTTGATAGGATTAGTAATAGACTTAGATGATCAGTAATTGTTGTGTTAATAATTGCTATAAATGCTGACACTTTAGATCCATTTAATTTTATAATTATATGATCTAGGCAACTATTTTCACGAGTAGGAAAATTATGTCCATTTAATAAACCGTGTGTAGACAACATGTACAAATAATTTATTCTGTTATTGCATTCATATAATTTTTCATTACATTTAGGAATTATATTTATATTTATGTCACCTGTGATAGTAACATTAGCAGAATTTATAGTTGACAAATGGTTATTTAGAGAATCTATAAAATTAAAGTTACTATTGGATGGAGAGCGATATATACCAAGTACAACATGGTTAAAAATATTTACTTGTAAGCATGACGCCTCTTTTAATACAACTTCTGTAATGTTAGCTTTTAATAAGGATTTTGTATATATCACTATACCATAATTCTGATTAATATGATGTGTTGTTGCAAGATGAGTATAGTTTGGAAGAATAGGAATAGCTTTGCTTTTATCTAGATGACACTCTGTTAGGACTAATACATCAGAATCAAATCCTAGTTGCGCAATAGTTACCAAAAGATCATCAAAATTACATTTCACGCTTCTTATATTTTGCGTAAAGATAGTAAGATCTGATTTATTAATTTTAATGTGTTTACCTAAGTCCTGGATATTGCATTGTATGGAGTCAGCAATTTTAGCACAATCTATGTCATTTAATGTTTGCAAAGAAGTAACCATTTAATTTAATATAAATAGAAAGATTGAAATGATCGAGTGGGTAGTTTAAAATTGAATATTTGAGAATAACACGGAAGTTTATTGAGCTAAATATTTCATAAAATTTAGTAATTATAACTCTTTGCCGTTCAGATATTCTAAAATATGGTAAAGTATATCTTTTGGAGTTACCCTCTTCTTTAAAATTTGTCTCAGAAAGTGACTTATCCATATTTTACACTTTTAGTGGTCGATATACCAGGATACTATATGTAGAATTCAAAGAGCTTTAAATTAGAAGTTAGGCTAGTGTTGAAGGATGTCAAATATCAAATTTTAGTATGGTTTTGCTGGATATACTAGGATCCCATAAAATTGAATCAGGCAACTTTGTTATTATTTTAAAAAATTTGTCAAAGAGGTTTCAATTAGAAATTAGCTAGTGTAGTTGAAGGATATCAGATATCAAATTTTAATAAGGTTTTGCTGGATGTACTAGAATCCCATAAATTTGAGGCTGGTAACTTGTTATTATTTTTAAAATTTTGTCGATACCTAACTAAGACTAAGAAGGTTCTACTAATGTGTCAATGAAATCAGTGACAACATGTAAGTACTATCAGAATTCCATTCAAAAGTTACTAATGTCCTTAAAAACCTGTTTGCAACGAACAGATTACTACAGTGTCAAATCTTTCACGACCAATATCAGCAAAAATTACCAAAATCACATGAATTCATAGAAGTCAAAATTCGTGGATACGTACGGTTTATACGCACACTTATCCACTGTCAAGACAAAATTTTACTTACACACGGATTGCATGCTCCGTACACTTCACTCAACAGCCACTGTTTAGGCAACTTGCACTACCTCTTGAGTATCTATGATCTCCTATTTTTTGAACTTGATTTATTTGCAAAAATTAGATTTAAAAAATATTTTGAAATAACACAGTAACTTAGTTTTTATGCACGTCTACTCGCAACCGAGGTCCGGGGGGAAGAGGAAGAGATGCTGCCATACTTCAGCTGTTTATTAATACATGTATTCATGATGTTAATGAAGAATTCAATCGGAAAAATGTGAAAAATTTCGATGCAAGCAACTTACCTTGCAAAAGTGAACTTTGGCAACAGTTTGGACGGGCTATTTTGCTAGTATTTGGAGCACTAAAACTACGAAGATGATTAATGTTTTCAGTCCCGAAAATAATGGCTGGACATTAGTAGATGGTAAATATGATTTTTATTGGTTCGATGGAAATCAGTTACCGGGTTTTGTCAGTCAGTCGATGGAGCAACAATCAGGTAATTGATTTTCGTTTCTCATAATCTTCATGTCTCTTTAATTTTTCAGAACTTAATTGTTTGCCTTGTAATTTACAGTGGAAGAACCTAAGGATAGTGCTGATGATCAAGATGACGATTTAGATATTGAGTATCAAGATTGGCTCGATGATGAATTGTCTAATTTCAATGACGATGACAATGAAGATTAGAAGCCAGTAAAACATTTAGAAATATTGAGGTATTAATATTTTTTCAACTTTGTTTTTTGTAAGATTAATTCCCAATAAGTAATTATTTGAAAAAAATGCTGCTATTAAATGAAGGCATTAATGCTGCGTCAAGCTTTTGATATTTTATTTAAAAAAAAATAGTTTACTCGAGTTTACTGAAACAGCTTGTAAGGTAAAATTATTTTTACCTTACAGGATTTAATTATTGATCAGACGAGCACTTTCTTAACCGTTGATTTTTAATGATTTAGCTGTTTATTTTTTATTTTAAGCTGATATTTTTAACTATTTATGATTAATTGATATGAGTAAATTGTAAGAAAGAGAGAGAGAGAGAGGGCCTATGGGCCAACCCTTGAATCGGTCTGTTTTCTAATAAAACGTTTTAAAATAGTTGTTTGGCTAACATATATGAAAAAAGAGCTTCAGGATGTAACATTGAGTAATTTTTTTAGAGCTTTAAAGCACCTTCAAAGCGACACTGCCGACGGAAAGTATCTGGGAGTATTTATGACCAATTTTTAACGACATTATCTAACATATACGTAAAAATTAGAGAGGAGAATTAACTTGAGTTGAGTAATGTTTTTACGTACTACCTTGATTACCTGATACCTGTAAAATGGCCGTCTGGCCAAGCTAGCAGGTAGACATGCAATCATAGTACACATACTAACACTACTCAATCTAACACATTTCGTTCGTTAGGAAATATGTGACATCTGGTGGCCTACAAGACTTGCTCACTTAAAGTAGAGGATAAGAATCAAAAAGAAGTTTCAATAGTTAGCACATGTATATTCGTGAGCTAAATCTAATTTAAAGACGAAGTAAGTTCCATTGGTGTATTCAATCTGAGTTAAATCCAATTTGTCAAGAAGTTCCAATTTCTTTGGTGTTTCCTACCGACTTTTACGAAACCCACGTGAAGAGATTTTATGTTGTATTAAACTACGCTGCAACCACATTGTTTTTTTTTTTATCAAATTGTAGTATAAATTTGACTTTTTCATTTGCCTAAATTAACGACAAAGTACATTTCATGGCAATATGCCCTTTGTAATGCCCAATTACAAAAGTTTTCCTATCGACGTGCATTGTTATGGTTGCAATGTGAAATTTATTTATTTTGTACAACATACTGCTGACAAATTGTACTATCACGGTACACAAGTTTCATTACTAACAGTTTTTGCTTGCATATACAATTATTCGCGTCATTTATGTATGTAATATAATAACAACCCTGTGATAACCGCATGGTGTTAATAAGTGTTTGATTTTAATTGTCAGAGATTTTTTTCTAGGATAAAATTTGACAAATGAACACAAAGTCTGCCTGATGGTAAATGGACGACCCATAAACAGATATCTGTGATCGCGGATTTGCATTTGCATTTTGTTTCTTAATCATCAATTAAGAAACAAAATGCACATGCGTTTACAACTCCGTAGACTAAAATAGAATAGAAGATAAAATCTTTAACAGCAACTGTTTCATATCATCTAAAATGTTTCATAAACTAAAATCTGACACTCAATCCGAAACTACCTCCAAATTCCCGATGCATTGACTAATTCAGAAAACGGCATTGCCTGTTTTTTTTCACGACTCATGACTATTCTTTGTATAACTTTAAAACTACAAAATAATTGAACAAAACATTCTTATGCAAAATAAGCGAACTTAACACTGCTATGAATAATACAAAGTTTTCCATTAAATCTTCGTTTATTGCTTTAATGTTTTAAATATTATTCAGAAACATTTCAGAGATTGAATAATATTATATTTTTCGATAAATTTTTAAGAATAAGGTCTTTTGTAATTAAACATTCCTCATCAAATTATTTTCATTGTATATTAGTAGTACTAAATGACTCCTTTCCTGTCCTTGCTTTGTTCTCGGACTTCACATGTCTTCGAAATATCTTTGTTTTAATTTCTTAGACATGCAGGTTTACGTTGCTCGCATACTATGGTATTTACAGCGGGCGCTAAACTCCTGGGCTCTTCACATATCTTCGAAATATTTTATTTTCATAAATTCATATTATTTCACGATGTTTCCTTCATAAACAACCATTTGATTAATCAGTTCTTAAAATTACAAATACCAATTCAACTTTTTAAATTAAACACTATTCAGTTTTTCATTATTGACGCAACCCGCCAGTAATGCGGGGAGTTTTAAAAATATCGCCGCGCAACATTAATTTGGCGTCGCAATATCATTTATCATAATATATGACATCCGTCTATATGTTCTCTTGCAGTGTTAAATCCGCCGCTATGATTTATTTCTATGTATGGTTTCTATCAAAATTTTATTTTCTTGTTTCGTTGTCGCAAATATATGTAGGTTAAAGCGTCGCATGACTACCACGTTATGGTCGACAACTTTGATGATTAATAATCAAAAGTCGATAAGTAAAGAAATTTACGCGATGTCAACATCAGAATTAATCAAGAGTAAGGTCGACAAATAAAGAAATGTACGTAACGTCAAAATCAGAAAGAATCAAATGTAAAGTCGACAAATAAAGAAATGTACACAATATCTCGATCAGAAAAATCTCGAACAAACGAACAATGCATCGCAGTAAACAACAAATAACAAAAAAAAAACATGTGTGCAGTTCACACGCGGTAAAAATGAAATCTTCAAATGAAATGAAATAAAAAAAAATATTAAGGTAAATTATTTATTTAATATGATTATTTTCAACCACAATTGCGGAATAAAATTTAAGATAAATGTTTAATTTTATAGCAAATATTTATTACAATCTTTATTTTGCGACCTAATTGCTTGCTTTATGATAGCGCCATCTACTGCATTCTATAGGAAAATTCATTTTATCGAACAAAAACTGATCAACTCACAAAGTGGTACGTAAAATAGACGCTAGATGGCATCAAAATTGTGAAACTGGATTTTTGGAACTAAATTATTTATTTTAACATATTATATATATTGTTTATTTTAACAGTTAAAATTTATACTTACTATCCATCTTTAAAGCACGGCACAAAAAAGAAACCGGTATTAATCAATATTTTTTTAAAAACTAGCAAAAGTATTTTTTAAGAAAACTAAAAAAAATACAGTAGACGAAGGAAGGATTCGAACCCACAACCTTGCGAGTTCGCTGTGTACACTGTATTCTGTCTCGTTCTCTCGCAGTCTAAATCCTATAGATATATTATGTATATGTTTGTCTTTTGTCGTGTTTGTTAAATCGAGTTTCAAGTCACAAAGACTCTAAGGAAGTCATATTCGGGATTTGTCCGAGTTCAATAAAACTTTATACTGTTTAATATTTAAAGGATTAAGATGTATGATGCCCTGTTGTCGTATATAACTCAGCCACATTCAGATTTTAACTCTGCCCCCATTCTGAAACAGTCGTTATTTATAATATCTGAAAATAAATAATTGAGTTATTTAATTTATTACACGATGTAACAGAATATTATAATTTTACAACTCAAAATAAAAATGATAAACCTGGTAACCTGGGACAATCGATGTTATAAGATGAACGAGAATCCCTACATTCCACGAGGGGCTTCGAATAGCAATCTTTCATACCTATTATTGGTTCAGGTAACGTTTTTTATAAGTATTTTGCGTAATTTTTCGTTATAAATTAAATATTATTTTAAAACAATGTGAATGTAAAAATACTTTTTTTTTTGCATTGTTCCTCTAAACGTTTGTCATTTTAACACCCTTTTATTAACTTCACCGTGTGTGTATAGTTTTTTTTTTTTATAGAATAAAGGTAACAAACAATTACACAGTTCATCTGATATTAAATGGATGCGGTGGCCCATAGAGATCTACATCTATCCTCGATTGAGAATTGAAATGCTGATGCGTTGCCACCCTTCAGGAATAAGACGTTTCCCGTAAAAAGGTTCTTGGTTATATACACTCACTATACAAAACACACCTGCTATTTCACGTTGGTGTTCTGTGAGAACGCGGCGTCTTTCCTTGACCCATTCGTGCTGCAGTCATAATCATGCTACCACGTACGAATGGATGACGATCATGCAGCCGTTACTTTTCTTATCCAGGCCCATGACAAGAGAAGATGAAAGACTGCTCCTTAGACTATACGAAAGAACCTTTAGTTTGAAGCGGGTTAACATGTTGCAGATATATATTACAATTTTTAAGAACCGTTTATTATTGGGTTGCTACCCCGTCGTGTGGAACTTTACACGAAGAATGCTACAGATGCATTGCCACCTCTTAAAACTGAGATAAAATTCCTCAAAGCCTGTAGCTGTTCTGGTTTTCTATCTTTCTATAACCTTCAGACCGGAATGCAGCAGTGCAATCACTAATATTTGACGACAGAAAAAAGTAAAAGGGTGGTACCTACGAATATTGACTTCTAGACAGACAGGCATACATATCAATCGGTTAAAAAATAACAAGAGTTCAATCCCCGCTGATACTATTTATATTTTACACGTACTTTGCGACGAAAGAAAATATCGTGAGAAATGTAAATGCCTCCGTCATCATTTTCTTCTCTTTTGAGAAAACCTATTATATATATATATTTCTTATTTTGATTCCGAAGTATCTTTAAGCAAATAACCTTCAAATGTAGTCAAATTTAATGAGAAAAGTTTCAAAGCTTCATGAAATATTTTGCAACGTTGCTCTCAACCTAGAGAACTTTCTAGGATTCCAATTTATTTGTTGAAACTTCACTCCAACTGGCAGCTTAGCAGAAGTCATTAAACTGTATTTAGTAAACAGGTGCAATAACGTTGACGTATTCAGACTTTTCGTAGAGATGAATATGAAAACAATAACATAAATTCACTGTTACAGAGACAACCGAGTTTAAGGAAAAACTTACCTAAACGTGGAAGTTCTTTATCTTCTTCATTAGCCTGTAAAATATAAATTTGCCTTAATCGTGAGGCTTGGCAGGTGGATTGACGATAGCAG